AACAGAAGAAAGTTTAAAATTGGCGCTTCTCCGTGTTATAGATGCTAAATTTTTATACTGTACTGTTAGTGGACTATTACTAAAATTTAGTAGCAATCGTCTGTTCCATTATATCTAGCCATTCTTCTCATTAAACGTACCTAGGCAATTCTGTTTCACAAAATTGCGAGTTGCCCCGTGTCATTTGCCTCTTCAATTTCCTTCTGTTTTGTGAAATTATGAATTGTCACTTTTTAAACTTTCTTCCGTACGTCGCTGCGGACATGAAAGACGTTTCTGGATGATTGGATAAAAAATTTAATTATATTAATTTTACGTGTCAAGGTAAGAATGAATGTAACTTAAGCGACATCTTCATCGAGACATAACGAGTTATATTTTATTATATTATTATTATTACGTTGGTCCGTGTTTCGTGATACGTCAGGTTAATTTTAACGGTAACCGATAGAGGGTAACAGTTCGATCTCGGTTCTTTTAATCCATTTTCGATCTTTCGTAACCTAAATTTTAAATGAAGATTGAAACCTCTGAAGTCGTGAAAACAAAATTTCCCATTCTTCTTACGCCAAACAGTCTGTAATTAATTTTTCAAAAAAAGCATCGTTGACGTTGCGTTGATATTGTTACAAAGTGGTTGATATTCTTCACTCTGGCACTAAATAAAATCTTTTTATATTTACAATCGAAACGGTCATGTTCAACAGTCGAGCGAATGATAAAAATTGGCAATCGTGGTTGATGTTGCGGGCGCAAGCTGTTCCGTGATAATTGCTGGTACTCGTTAATTATTCCTCTTACTGCCGAACCTCACCCCTCAAGCTGCACTCGCTATTAGGTATTCTCCCTTGCACCTGCATTTTAAGCACCGTTTCGTAATGATCCACGGGATCTCGACGGGAGATTAAAAAGCTTTCGCCCGGGACAAATCTCGATGGTGTGTACCGTTCGAAATAACGATTAATAATTATTGACTGAAAACGAAACAGCTTGTACGATCTCTTCCTGTAATGCACTTCTTTTTTTCTTTTCTCTTTCTTTCCTCTTTCTTTATTGTTCCGTACTCTTGCCCCCGGTACCCATCGTGTCCTGTCATTAAAAGTAATATGCCCGTTCCGATCGACACGCTTCCACGTTTATATCTGAGTGGAACACGTCTTCAAAATTTATCAGGCCCTTTATTAGTAAAATATTGCTTCGTTATAGTTCTACTATACGTGCTATTTTCGAAATTTTTCTTTCTTGTAAGTTTGAAGAAGTTTGCATTTGCAGTCCTTGCGTTCTTACTTTGCCTTAATTTCAGTTTGATTCGATATTGTTGAATATTTTTTGATCTAATCGAATCTAATCGTGGGTAATTCCGTTGTTTTACTAAATTTTGTAGCTTTCTTCGATTTCATTAGAAACAGGGTTCATTCGCGAGAGATACAAACGCGACGTATCCACACAGAAATTGAAAAATCGCACGATAGCTATAGTTTTACTCGAAAGACATTGCAGGTACTCTTGAAAGATGCATCCTTTCGGCCTCAGGTTGAAGTGAGTCGTCCGACGAGAAAGATTTCACGCATCCTCTCCAAATGGCAGGAAGGTTTGCGGTCAGATCGTGGGACATCCATTCATATGTTTTCGCATGCGAGCACGCAACGTGCCAAAACTGTCAAGCTGCACGTTGCAAGAATCAGCGCGACAGGAATACCTCGTTCCTTTCGAAAAAAAACCCTGTTTTCTCTTCCTCCCTTTTTTTACGATATGAAATCGAAATAACCGCTAGTGAAATTTCAACTTTTTATTAAGCCAAGTACAGTTTCATTGGATATTTTATTAATTATGAGCTACGTAATAAAGCGTAGTTATAAATTATAGGTTACGTAGACACAAGAGTACATCTTTTCTGTAAATTCAATAACAAATGAGATAGTCGAGTGTCAATTTGTCAGATTCGTTAGGAATATATTTGTTGCAAAAATTTCGTAACTAATAAATGTCTCTAATTCAGTCGTGCGGTATTCACGAAAGTATTCGAACATCTGTCGAAAGATTTTACAGATCTATATGTCTCGTGTGGAACATTTTGAAATTTCCTAAACGTCGTCGCAATGAATATCTCTTCATATTAATATAATTGTAATTTCCATACGGCGCGGATGAAATGTTTCCGTGGTAAATGGCCGAGTGCTTTCGTGTTCCAGCGCTTGATACAGAAGAAACATTCGTGTAGATACATAGTTGCACAATCATTCGCACTTCCGTTCGTCAAGCATTGAACGTTCGATATTCCTTTGATCGTTGGTCCGGATGCGGTGGTCTCGTTGGAAGCACACGTTCGCCCGGGTGAAGCCGGCCGGGCGCACGCGCGCACCTTGGAGACATCGCAGGTGCAGTTACCTGCTGGTCGAGTTCTTTCTTCGTTCCTCCTACGGCAGCCAATTATGCAAGTTTCACTTATCCGAAGTTGCCAGGTAGCTCGTTATCGCGGGACGCGAGACCACGAGTGGGTTAAGGACATCGGGACCTGCTTTCAATACATTCTTCGGCACGCACATTACCTCGCCACGAAAATATATACACCCATACAACTCGTGTTTCCGATAATACACCGTTTCTTTTCTTCTTCTTCTTCTTCTTCTTCTTCCCCCTACCGTTATACTATTGGAGCAGCCCTCCTACGGTTTGAAATTTTTCCTTTGTCTCCGCACTGTCTGTTTTGACGCCACGGGAATCGGCTCTTCTGAGCGTGAAAGCGTGTCACCGTTGCGTTTTAATGGGTCACCGGAATATTCGCGATCTGGAGCTTCCGAGAAGATCTGATCCCGAGGAGACGGAAATGAAGGATGTTCGATGGTTTCTCGGTGAACCTGTGAAATTATTACTGCAGGAGGTAGTTGTTGATTAACTTGTCGCGTATTTTCCCGCGTGGGAATAAAATTGACTAGTGATTAATCAGTCGGAAATTTAGATTACAGAAGTTTGCAATTTGGGGGTGATTCGGCTAATGTTTCGGTTTCGATGTGATGAAAGATCAATAGGAAGATCTTTTAGTTTAAGTTTTCTTATCGTTCTTCAAAAGTTCCAGTTCAGATACGTGGATTCAGTTAACAAGAGTTCCATCGAGTTCAAATAAGTTTTATATTTTTGTAGAAATATTGATATACTAGTAGATATCTTTGATTTCCGATTTCCTGAAATAATAGAGTAACCGTTTGCGTACGTGCAGATACAATGCTATATGGTAAATACATCAAGATTCCGATAAATATTTTGTGACAAGCGAGAAAGTAGTTTAATTGACTGGAGGGCATGTGTTCACGGTGACTGACAAGGTAAGAATTAATGATTCAGAGCTGCCGGCCAAACGTAATTCTCACGAAATTAAACTCACCGTGTGGGTAAGTTTTTCAATTCTTGGCCATTTTTGGAGAAAGAGTTTCCTGGGGCGAACGAGCATTCTGGCGGTATTCACCGAAATGACAGTTTGCGAGGCGGAATTATTAAAAAAAAATTAATAAAAGCTTCAACGTGAAATAAGAAGCGTCATTTATATAAAATTCGGCTTTTGAGCCTTATCTCTCGGATCGTTTTCCCATTAGCTCGATACTTTCGCTTTCACGTTGCTAAATATATTATTAATAATATTAATAATATTAATCACATTAACGCCGTCGTTTATTACTTGCGTCGAATTATTCACCAATTAATCACCAATGAAAAGGTAATTTATGTTCTTGTATCTTGACTCTTAGATCAATTTTTTACTAATTTGACTGGTATCTGAACGACCTTGTTTTTCCCAGTAAAATTAAATCTCACCTGTATATCTAAACGCTTCGTTCAAAAAACGAGAAAAACAAAAACCGTCTCCCAAAACCGAATGACGCTGAAATATTTCTGAGAACGCGCGAGATCGCAGCAGTAGCATGGTCCTGACCTACATCGACTTGAAGTCGGTTGTATAGAGCGGTGTTGATGAAAGGTTCTCAAGGTCATGGATCGGTGGAACCACCTAATTCAAATTCACGGCTAGAACGGCGGCTGCGATTATCGAAGGTGGTGGTTCTAGGAAGTGCGGCCCAATAGAACGTGCCCGATCGGCGCAGACGCACTGGCGGCTCTCCTTCTTCGCGCGACCCGCGCCGAATCAAATCTACGCCGCGGCGCTAGTATGCGCGCGCAACTCTCTCGCTCCGCCGTCTCGGATGCCTATTGGTCTCACTGAATCGTCCCGCTCTCGCTACTCTCTCATCAAATACAGCAGATCAGCTAATCCGTACACCGAAAAATTTTCTCTTCTGTCCCGCTGTTACGACGCGCCATTTTTATGTCTTTCTACCCCAATCTTCCGCTTTGGTCGTTCGTCGCCGATCGGCATTTGAAATTTCCCGCCGAACCTCTCTTCGATGTATCGGCGATTCTGATCGGAGATTTCGTCGTCGCTGAACCGCTTGCTTACGAAGTGATTAATTAATTCCACGATTTCACCGACCATCGCAGATCGATACGATGTCTTTGTATTCAAACGTCGCAGAAAATATAGTATACTTTGTATAGATTACTCGATGTACGAGCCGTCTTTTACCTCATTTGAAAAAGGGCCATCGGTCGAAAAACCACAGGCAAACTTTCAACTTCAAACTTTGTTTATTTTCAATCAGTATCTCATCGAAATAAATATCGTATCAACAGTCAAATATAATCATTATTTAACCCTTTTATGCTTCCATTGTATGTTAAAGTACCATTTTCACAAAGGCACTGTTCCGAGCTATAAAGTATAGAATATCCTAGAGTATCGAGTTGAAACACGGAGAACCTACGTACATAGTGTCTAACATCATCGTCACAAGTTGTTCATTTCCAACCCTAACCGCAGTATCCTACTGCGTCCCAAGATTGGAGAATTCGATGCAACGATACGCGTCTGTAGAAGCGGCCCTCCGAAACGTGCGCGCGCGTTGCACGCGTTCGCCCGCGAGAGGATGGAAGATTCTCCTGCGCGACACTATCTTCGCCAAAGCATAGAGGGGATGAAAGAGCACGCGTGCCCCACCAGCGCGCTACTTCCCGTGGATCCAAAGTTAGTCGCATGTGAGCTCGGTAGGCGTGGCCTTCAGGTAGCTGGAGACGCGCAGGTGAGAAGAGAGAAACCCGAGCAGGTAAAGCAGCCGAGCCACGGGCAGACTGCGACGCGCGTTCCACGCGAGACCGTGCGTGTACCCTCCTCGGCCAGACCGGGGTCAGTCAGGGTCCTGCTGTTAGTCAGGACGCTCCGAGAGCATCTCCTTGAGGATCGGCCAACGGACAGCTGTCTGGCTACCTGTGCTACTCACCTTCGCTCTCTGCGCCAGTCTGATTTCCTGCTTCCTCGTTTTTTTTTTTTTTTTTTTTTTACTTCGTCGTTACTTGTCAATCAGGAGGGAGCTACCCACTGCAACGTGGGACTCCCGGTGGAATGGGAGAGTGTCGAAATTACGTGATTTAGAGAAAGTGTCTCCCGTCTTTTGACAATCGGTATCGCGAGATATCGAGCTGAATTCGGCCTTGGACCAACCGCGACCTTGGCGAGCCACGTGGAAAGGATCGTCAGAAGGAACGATTCGTCCTGCGAATGGGAAAACTCTGCACGCGTACTCGGAACGTACTGTCCGTGGGATTGATGTCGATTGTGTAGATCGTTTGTGCGTTCCTGGATCTAGTGCCAAATAAAAGGAGACTACGATTTGCTGTTCGCCTCCATGAACAGTCGGAAGACGTAGAGGACTAATCGATCAACCAACTGGACACAATGTGCGGTGAGTTTCTCTCTCTCTCTCTCTCTCTCTCTCTCTGGCTTTTTCCTCTTTCTTTCGCGCGATTCGCGCCAACGGAATTGACAGATTGACGTTGAAGTGTTTGTTATGATAGTTGAGAAAATGTATTTGTGCTATTTCTGGCATCGGATGGATATTTACAGAAGCTAATTTGATACATGGAAACGTTTCCTTTAAATTGTGCACTTTTAAGAATATACTGGTAGAATATTGATAAAATTATTTGGTCTTTTTAAAGCAGGGATATGAGATTCCGTATTTTGTTTGGTCTGAGAAGAGAAGATACGAACTCATGAAGATAGATTATGTATTCCGTTAAGTCGAGAATGGACAATAATGTCAGATTCCTTATCATTTCATGCCAGAAAGCTTATACATCCTCGGGCTATTAATTTTTGACGGTGAAGAAACAGTTTGACAAGTTTGTAATTTGTCTTTTAACTGTTTATTTTTTTAATTGACAAGAAAGCGTAAAATCCATACCAATTTCTGTAACAATTTGGAAATTTCAGAATTATGAAAATCATAAAAAATGTACATGTAACCAAAAACTGTTTGTCATTAATTATAACATAGTATGTAAATTCCGAAGTAGAGAAAAATGTTCATTACCATGAAACACGTAGAAGATAGATACTCCAACTTTTCAAGCTGTTCAAAAATATTCATATTGCCATGACCTTGCGTATCTGTCGCATTAAAAAAATATATTCAACAGAAACCAAAAATATTTGTACAGATTTTCAGCGTCATAATTCAAGTTCACAGTCACCCCTTATCTTTTTGTTACATTCTGACGTTGAAAAATATTGTCACAGTTAATTGAAAAAGTAGAGATTTCATTTTCAAGGAATAATTCGCTGCACTTTAGAAATCGTGGGGTTTCAATAGATTCATTAAACAAATGGATCTCGTCATACGTTTACTTTTCGTTCGAATAAATTCGATTTTACCTGTTCGAGGAAAAGAAGTGTTTGTACAGTCTGTCTAGCAATAGAATATATGTTAGATTTTTAGTGGGCAGCTGTTCTTAAAATGATTAAGAATCTCTTAGTCTACGTGGTCCCAGAAGCGTTCATTAAAAAGAACAGCCAAAAAGGCTGATGTTCGTTTGTGCGGACACTTGTTCATACGTATTTTAATGAACTACGAATCCGGCGACCCGATTCTGATCACGTTCGAGATTTCCCGTGAATCATCCTTTTTTGAGTTATTTTTCAGGTAATTAGTTGGCAAACAATGAATATTCAAGCCGATCTATCGTCATTCATCTATTTCTATTTCTATTTTGAACACAATATACATTCTCTAGGGAAAGTTGTACTAGTTGGACAAGAACACTTTTCAAAGATTATATTTATTTGTGATTATTACGTGTCCCTCACTTGTGAAAGTTGTAAATAACATATTGTTCAGCAAAACTTACAGACGTTTCAAAAATTATTTAATGAAAATTATAAAATCATACGTGTTTTCTTCTGTTCGAAGTCTCAGAATATATATCACATAGAGCACAACGGTGATACATTATCTTCTTTCGTTCAAAAGCCCCATAATTAATACTATTCAGTCGTAGTCGGCCGAGAGTTTGAAGTATATTCCTACAATTTTTTTTTCTTCTTTTTTTCATATGACAATATGCACGCAGTTTTAAAACTGACTTGTAAGTAGATAACGGTCGGTGATTGACATCGAACTCGGACATTACCGTTCGTTATCCATGCAAAACAGGAACCACTCACACAGTCGTGTTTGCAAATCGTATTACAGATTTATTCAAACAAACGAGAGGCGATTATTAAGGCTCGTCGTACGTACATGTGTATGAGTGTATACGTTATCTATTACTTAAAAACCTTCGACTTTAACGATTCACGTTTTTTAACATGTGCTCATATCTTTTTATGCCTTTTAAACAAACCTCAAAAACGAGTTCGAGGTATATAAAAAGATAGTTGTTAAATTAGGAAGTATTTTATTAATGCACCCGCATTCCCCATAATTAACGTATTTCTCAACTGGAATATTAATCGCGAATCGACGATGTCCGTTTATAAAACTCATGAAATAAATCTTGTCGCGCGTTGTTTCTAATTTCGAAGCAAATGTACGTGAAAGAATTTCATTGGATATTGAATTTTGAGGAGTTTAATTAAGAATGATAAAAGCAGTTGGTCGTGTTGGTCAATCAAAGGATAAATTCATGTCTACAAATTGTATCCACAACTTTGACATCTTGAGATCTGATTTGAAGTCATATTCATCTAAAAGGTACTGAGATTACAGTTTATTATTTTTTTAGTAACTATGCGGTTCTTTTTCTTTCGGCCAGAATTCAAATTTCCAGTGCCACTTACTACCAGAGAATTCTTTGAACGTTAAAAACATTCAACGTATGGCAGTACGATAATGAATAAAAATAACCAATGATGACTCTTCCTTGGAAAGACCATGTAATTTTCTTTAACGTCATTATAAATACTCGAGATCAGATACTGTGAAATATTAATATTACGAGCGAGATAGGAAAAGGTTGGAAAATTACCAGAGACTACAGGTTAAAACTTTCAGTTAAAAATCGCCAACGTTGATAAAACGTAGCACGCTCTGTTCACCGTGTGTAGAGAACTATTCCTACTATATCCATCCAAGTCGCAGTGCAAAACGTGTTTTCACTTTGTTTTCGATTTTTAAGCTTTTAAAAGGATAGACGATGGACAGATGAGATCTTATTGATTGCTTGCTTATCGGAGTTGGTCGTGAATAAAGTTCGTCTGGCAATCACGCCCGTTTCAGCCTACGATCAGATTAGAAGCTCTGTCTCCTGGATGGACACGCGCACGCATGTTCTACGATATATAATTCATGCTCCTCGTCCGAGGGAGGAGCATGTTTGTGATTTTCCCTATAAATCTGATAGCCGTGTCTACCTATGACCCGCGAGAATAATGCATTAACTCGGCTCGCTTTTAAATGTAATAAAAATCCATGTTAAAGCAAAAGGCGCGCGGTTTCTCCCGGTATTCAACAAAAACGGGACGCTTTCAATGACGAATTTTTCTTGCCCGTAATTAACTATTTTTATTGCCACGGAATATCAAACACAGTTGCCACGATGTTGTTGCAAAATTACATTCAATTATATTATCACACCACGTTAAAAGCGAGTCTCATTTCGCACGTACAACTCTTTGGTTTCAGCATTTCAACAATTTCCCTAAAACCAACCAGCAGCGTCTTATATAAATATAAAGTAAATAAAGTACGAGATATACGAGGAATGTGAAATGAAACGTAAATAGAAATGATTTGATTTGCCAATCAGAAGCGGTACCGCGTACTTGGTACATGAAACCGGAACTTCACTACAGCGCCATTGGAGTTCCGGCGGGCGCGCTGTCACCTCCGGCCACGCTTTCACCGCCCAGCAGCCCGAGTGTCACGCTGCCGCCTTCGCCTTGGAGTCCCGGCGCGGCAGGAAGTAGCTTAAGCACCACGACATCCTCCAATCCTTCCTCGGTCTCCTCCGCGAGCCTCGGCCAACCGACTCCGGACCGTTTCAGCGCTTTCACCCTCGTCTCAACCTGCAATCCCGACGCCAGACTTCAGAGTCTACCGTTGACTACCACAGCTACCGCGGCACGAGGTAACGCAATAACGCCTCAACAACTCGGCAAAACTTCGGGCATTTATGCAAATTTGCACGTCCGTACGTACAGATCGTTGTTAGACCGCGGACTTTTTTATTTATCTGAGAAATTCGAAGCTATAGATGTCCAAAGTGATACACTACATCTAAAGTAGGGTAATTGATATTTAGTAGGTGTTTTATTTCTTTAGTTATGCAAAAATATTGTATTATTGTGAAGTATCCAAAGCAGAGTATTGCTCATTTTATTTGTTGTATGATAAATATATAAAAATCTACAATCCAGTGTATATCAATATTTAAGTCAATGTCTGAGTTATGTAATAGAAATAAAATATAAATATAATTCGCAAAGATAAAAAAGATATTGAAAGTAAACTACTTGTTATAATACTTAATAATGCGAGATAAATCTTTGCCTTGGCTCTATTTTTCGAATTGTGTTAAGAAAAAATGTAAAATTGTATGAAAACCCGGCGGTCTATTAATGACGCACGTGTCTGACTAATATCAGTTATAACTACTTGATAGACTTCGACAAAACAACGTGTGAAAACCATGCACCATTTCACAATTCGTGTCGCAACACAATCAGCCACATTTAAAATCAAATATATTTCATTTAACCTGCCATTCTCAATTGATAAAAATGTTTTATATTTAACAAACATTCAAATAATTTTCGTGAATGATCGTATTACTGTTTATATCATAAACAGATCAAAGGCAGAAGCACAATCTGTGTCAGCCAAGTTTAGAAACATTTCTCCATTGGAGCAATTCACATTTAACAACAACGCAATTCCATTTCATGGTTGAAACATTTATATCGGTTATGGCTACGACTAATAATCATAATAATCTAGTATCGAAAATTGGAGAATTTTAGCAGTTAAATTTGAATTGAAGAACTCTGTGCTTCTCATATTTACTTCAACAAATTGATACTTCAATCAAATACTAACTTTATATTTCTCAAAACGTTTCAATATTATATTTCGATTATATCGTCTTATTTATTATCAAAATTCAGGCACGCGTTTGTGAATGAATCAAGTTGGATTTAAAATGAATTAAAAATTTCGTAGTAAAATTTCAATTATTTAGGAAAATACACTCGCACCTAGATGAACTTGTGTAATATATGTGGCTCGTGTTATATCGATTCGTGATGGGAAAATCAAATGGTTTCCGCGGTAAATAGAAATTTTCCGACTTTCAGAGATGCGTTGTGGTCTGATGTATGGGGGTTATGGGCCGACCGGAGCTGCGTGGTGGGCTCGACACGTGAGTCTCTTGCTTCCCCATTCTCTGCTACCACCCTCGAGGATTCCTAACCAGCAAACTACACCGGTTGCAAATTGCTCACCTATTCACCCAGAACCCCTGAACACGTCCAGAACTGGCTCGCCACGGAGATGCACCCCTGAGAAGACGAAGTTCGGTGAGAATTTTAATCAAAGAGGCAGTTTGTGGAAAATTGAAACGGGATGACTGGTGAAAATTGATTTGGCTGATTTTATAGCGTGAGAATTAAGTGGGATGGGAGAAAGATATTATTCTAATGATATTAAGTACGTTATATTATTATTTGAGGAAATATCAATCCCTTAGCTTGCAATTTTTCATGCAATTGTTTTCAGTCATAATACTTTATGTTCTAGCTTATATTTCTATTATCTAGTAAATAATTCTGATATATTTCACATAACACCAACATGGTAATTGTTTTAGAAAGATTTCGTTTGATTTAAAAAAATAATTAAATTACTCTAAACGAACAAATCACAAAATAAATCACATTTAAAATATTGTATTAGTCAGTTATCAGCAGGAAGGCACCATGAAAATAATTTATTACAAAAGGTCACAAAATAAATCACTCGATTATTATTAGCGCGTTCTTCTTAATTCAATTTTACAATTCTCAAGAGAATCCTTATCAATCCCTACAAAAATAGAAAAAAATAAATTACTCGTCAAATATGATAATTAAATTTATTCTGTTAATTTCAAAGCTCCAATCGGGATCCAATTTTTGTGAAATTTTGTTGAAACGAACGGTCAATAAAAAAAACGTGGAAGTATCACGAAGCCTTGAAAACAAGAATAACACGCTGGTAATTTTGTCATAATTACAGTTGTGCAAGAACTTGGTTATCGTCATCCATATTTACACGTATCGTTATCGGTAACAAAGAAGGAACCTGCTCTTAAAATAATCATTACAAATCCTTTGCTGTTCAATGATTTCGATGATTGCCCAGTGATTGGAACCTTTTTTTGCGCAGTGTACGATAGCGAATTAGAGCTGCATTCGTGCAAGAGTAGAATAATGTATAATATAATATAAAGTATAATAAATAATTGTTCGTTCAGAGTTTTCGTGAAATAAATTTAGAATAAATTAGATTATTTCATGGCCTTTCTCTGATTTGGCAAAAAAACGACCTGCTGATTGCATTTCAAGTTACTGGAAATAAATTTTACAAGTTATATTCTAGTTAACCTCTGTTGAAGTTAAAGTGACAAAAGAGATCTTTTCGAATTCGATTTTCAGAAGAAGAAGCGCCGCTAAATCTGAGTACAAAGCCTAACGACGTTTCGTCCACCGTGGGTCGAAAGAATGAGATTTGGTCACCAGGAACGGTTTGCGAGAGAGAGGCGAAGGAAATCAGGATACCATCGTCCGCGAGTCCATCCTCGACTCCCGTAATCACTCGGCAAATCCATCATTCACCGCTGACGCCGCCCTCCTCTTCGGAAAGGACTTTCCAGGTGAGTTTCTTCAAAATTCGTGGGAAAAACACAATTGACTCGAATGGTTATTCAACGAAGTTATTTCTATTTAAATTCTGTGTATTTCTTTTTCCAGTTACACTCGTAGCATAAAAGCAGAAAAATCTGCGATATATTGATAAGATAGGAAATTGAAGAACAGAGAACAAATACGAATCTAAATTAATTTATTTTCAAACTAAAATAGCGTTAAAAGAGGCACGAAATTTTTCGATATAAAATTATTCTTCGATTTTAAATAGTCATGGGCCCTTGTTTCAAAGAAATCGAAAGAAAAGAAGGGGAAAAGGAGGATACAGCCTGATGGAGCTGACTCGAATTGTCAAGCAGTTAAGAGTGGTGGACTGTTTTTTCGGGGAACACGATGGAAATATCGCTCTGGGAAATCTTTACACGAGCGACGTATCCTATTCTTGATCGCTGAGTTAATCGTCAAACACAAATATTTGCGTTCTTGTTGTTCTTTTACGAGCTTTCTTCGACACCCTGCAGCTCGTAAAAGAGAACGCGATCAATTAGAGTTACTTCCGATTAATGTCATTAGTTTTCTAATTTCTTCCTCTTTTCTTTCTGTTTTAACTCTTTTGCACAATGTTCGATTTCAATTTGTATTTCGTAGAATTATTTATTGGGCAATGTTTGAATTTATTTCTATTTGTTAGAAAATTGAAAAACAGAACCGAATCTATCCAATAAAATCATTTTTATACTACAGAATGATTTATATTTAAGAAAGAGAAACCGGTTGCAATTTGTTCTAAAAATATTCCTTTACACGAAATCATAGTTCAGAAATTAGAAATCCAGAAATTTTTTAACTATCCTTTTGTGACACTTTCTATAACATTTTATTAGGTACAGAATTTTTCACGCTATTACAGACTTTTCTCTATTTTAAATGACATTCTTAAAGCACGATAACGAGAATAACTTTGTTGACAGTCTGCCTTGAATTTATATCTCTATCAATACTGTTAGAGACACCATTACGTTAATATTCACTTATACTTACGTGTAATATTCACTTATACAATACAATAATCTTGTCACGCATCTCCAGTCCACTTTTCTTCTGGCAGACTTTTCGTTGCTATTGTCCTAGCAGAAATGAAAACGTGTTATCGCAATAGAGGCACCGAGTCCGGTTGCGTAAGCGTATTTGCGCCATTTAGAATAACAAGGAATGAGAAATGAAAAAGTAACAAACGTTCTTTACCTTCAGCCTCACGGTTAAGAATTGTTTCGGTTTACAAAATCTCGATTTTTATTATTCTTTGTTAGATTTTCTTAACCACCATTGCTTAATACTTCGTGTCACTTTCTCTTTCATTGAAAGCAGATATTCTTTTTAATGTTCTTAATTTTGTTTCTCTATTTTCTTACAATATCGTACTTCTTCAAGGAAAATTAATTGTAGGAGGATAATAAACTTATAAACTTAATACAGGTTTCAAAGAGTTGTGGACGACCGTAGTTCTTGTGTTTAATTCAAGTCAGTCTACCAAATTGGAGAGAATATTTCAGTATTCGTAAGCTCGAAGTATGGCTCGAGTATTAATTTTTAGGATCTTTTAAAGGTGTGGTACTTTTTAAAACAATTTCCAACGTGCACGAAAATTAAAATTGAAATTAAAATTAATTAAAATTAGGCAAAGAGAAAAAAAATTCCGTGCACGGCTTGTAACCACAAACTGTACTGATAAACTAACAAAACAATGGGATCTCGACTGTCACCTAGTGTTTTACAGTTTTATTTAATGTTACCATCTACAGCGTGACGTACGCGTTTTAGAGTAAAGTGTTGTCAGCTCTAGCATGCCATACTAGTTGTACAATAAATTTGTATTGTCATCTCGAGTATGACGTAGAGTTAAATTACGATCGCTATGAGCGTTTGAAGCCGAGGGCTCGCTTCGGAAACCGATCTCCCGGTAGATTCTGGTAGATTCTGGTAGATCCTGGTAGATCCTGGTAGATTCTGGTAGATTCTGGTAGCGCGTATCATCCCTTCGGCTGTCGTATTTGCATACGTTCGAGGTGAAATCCACGAGAGTCACGCGACGATAGTGGGAACGGTGGCGCGAGTGCCCTAAAGTGCCACCATGACGTGGCGGAGAAGCGGGTCAAGCGGGTTTGACGAATGTCGGAACTCGACAAAAGGCGGCGGTGCAATTACGGCTGATTGAATGGAAGTAGAAACTCGCCTGGCCGCAGTTTTACGCGCGACATGTAACAGCCACCAGACATATTAGGATATCTGGGGCACACGCGCGTCATACGATCCTGATTCTGATCGAGAGAGAGAGAGAGAGAAAAAAAAACGAAAAAAAGAAAAAAAGAAGAAAAAGGGCCCCACTGAGAGCGCGCGGCGCTCCGCGTCGTCAAACCGGGTCCATCGTCTCGAAAATTTTTCCCAAACCGCATCGTTTTCTTCTTCAGCCCCGTCGGGGCACCGCGTTTCGCAACACGGAAACCGCAACGATCCCTTTCACGACACTCGGATTCAACGCGAAACAAGCCATTCACGCGAATACGATAGACAATTGTTGCTTCTTTCACGCGAATGCGGGTCAAGTTCTTGACACGATTTATAAAATTATCGTGGATCCAGACGTTTCAGTTGATGTCGGATCGTGGATTCATGTGTGAACATGAATACGATTGGAGGAATGTTTCATAGTTCAAGTGAAGGAGTGATTGGTAGTTTTAACTTTTGATGGATGTATCATTGAACTTCGGATTTCTATGCAAATTGGTATTTTTATGAACATGAGATACGCAGAGCAAAGCAATAGTCATTATAAAGATTTGCGTTGAATGTGAATACAATTGAAGTTGATAAAGTTTTTATTTTATATGTTATAAATATAAAATAATATAAATTTTGTCGTTATATGATACTCTGACGACCTTTGCGAGGAAAGTAAGAGAGGCATGACTGAAAGTGACATTCGAACGAATTGGACGACTAAAAAGTTGAGAATAGAAATCATTCGTAACATAGTACACTCCAGTTATAGACGATCTAAAAAAAGAAATTCTTAAATCATTACATACATATACGTATGTAAATATTGTATACTAAAATAATGGGACATACACATATATTTGATCGAGGAAAATAAACATAAGATTAATTCATCAAAATTTCAAATTACTAGCACTTCTGATTAGGAGAGGAGGAATTTTTCAAAAGAACAATATTTTTATTCAAATTCATTAATTACATTCTGACAAAGAAACTCATTGAACTCGTTATTTCTCGCGCTATATATTTCACCTAAATGTGATCTAATTGTCATAAAATAGATACAAAAGTAATAATTTATTTTCTAAATTGTATCCAACTTGGTTTAGATAGAATTCAGTAATGAATCGAAATGCCTACGCATGAGAGACTCTTGTTATACTCCTGAACTTCGAAAATCAACGTGTGCTCTGTTTAAAGAACAAAGCGATTTGCCGATGGACAAAAACGACTGAACGAAACCAGCAGTTAAGCACTTTTCTCAATTTTTGTAAGTGGTGTATTTTAACCTGGATTTAATGCTTCGCTCGCAAACATCCCGCGATATTTCCCGAACTCCACTCGTTCGATGTTTTATACCGTTATGTACGAGATTCCGTACAGATTCCATATATTGTTCAAGATATCGGTCCGAAATTGTAGAGCGACTGCTCAGCTCGTGATACTTACAGCAACAGTCCCGTGTATTCTTCACCTGACATTAAAAATTATGCCTTAATTGCTTAATTCAACGCGAGAACGCACGAAAATTGTACGATATTAAATTTTACACGCGTACGGCAACGCCGGATTTTATTTCCTATTTTGTTTCATTGAATGAGACGGACAAAATTATGAAAAATAGCTTTCTGATAATGTTTCCCTTGTAACGGAGAATTGCGATAATTTTTTGAAGTTCCAACTTCGTTTCGCTGTTCAAGATATTCGTCGTGGTAGAAAACAAATGTCAAAATAGAAATAGGTGTGTCGAAGGATGTGCGACTTTTTTTACAGATAGAATTTCCCACGAATGTGAATTATGATATATATATATCAAATTAAATCAAGCAACAATTTCTAGATAAGTTTCATTTCTTTAGTTTCAGTATGAAATTACCTGGAAATCTTCTGTCTAAAATAATACAGTGAATCATCGCTCGTTTGCCTAAATTTTTACTCCGCCGTTTTGCACAGTTTCTTCGCGCGTATGCGTTTATCTCGGTTACGATGCTCATTCCATGGAACTGATTCGGAGAATCTCGAAACTCTTGCCATCGAGTAGCACCGGTATCATTCAGAATGCAGCTTACGATGCACCGTTTACTGCATTTGGACGATGCGCCGAAGAAGTTCACCGAAACTCGTTCGCGTGTCCCTCTGGGAGACCGTAGAACGTGTAATGGCTTCTAAAGAGCTTATAAATCGTCTGTTTCGAGGTTTCCTCGAAGAAGAAGCATCGACCGGTGACTGGAGAGAAAAAAAGTGCCCCGCGTCTCGTTCGATCTCATTTTCTTTCTGGCACGATTATCTATTTTTTTTTTTTTCTTTTTTGTTTGTTTGTTCGAAATACTTTGGAATTATAGACTTTTACAATGTAAACACTTTGGTTTATTATTATTTTTATAAAAGATATGCAGAAATTTGTTTCGCTTGTTAAAAATTACAACGAGCACTCTGCATTGAATATGTTTCACGTATCATCGCGCGTAATATATAAATCTGTAAATTGTTGCCGCTCCGAATTTCCCATAATTCTATAAAAATTCATATGATACAAATATTATTTGAAATTTATTATTCGTGCCTGTGAATTTTTATTAGTTTCTGGGAATTGAAAATATATATATATATATAATAAGGCGCACAAAGCTCGAAAGCTTCGTAATAACAGATTGCTAATGACTTTCTATTTAGAATAATTCCGTTTACTCTGCATCTTTACCCAAAGCAATAGTAACAGAGAAAAACGTAAAAATTGTCAGACGGAGGAGATGAACAACAAACGGTCGGAGAAATCGAAATCGATCGGTATTAGACGGTGAATAAACGTGGAAGGAAGAAGGCGAACGACGCGTTTTACCGCGTTGGTAGACGCACCTGTGTTCACGGAGCCTCGGTTTTTCTCCTCGGCCTTATTGTCACACGGGCGCCAGTCCTGACAATGCTGTCGACTTAGGCGTGTCTCTTTTCACGATGCACACGCGTAGGTACATGCGTGGAATCGCGTACGAAACCACCACAGCCGGGATATTATTACGAGCGTGCACCGGTACCGATAGACGCGAGCTGCGACTACGCATGATTCACATCCCCCGTCGATCAATAATAAAGAACGAATATTACGATATTAGCTGGTCGCGATGTTCCGACCCGGGGAATTCTTTTTTCGCGTATCCTTCGATTATTTGTCAACATTTCGCGATGCTTTTTTTTTTTTTTTAATTTAGAAACGCATTCTCTTTTTACGTTTTTCATGTGTCGTTGCGTCGTCGTGAGTTTCAGTAGACAGAAAGAATCGTAAACCTTCTGATTCCTCTCGAAGTTGTTCGAAAAATATCTACGGTCTCTAGTTTTAATCGTTGTAATTATGTTGTGCAGATTTTTAGACACTACCGTGAAATTTGAAAGCATGCGCGTGATACGCAAAATCATACGAAATAATATTAATACGATAGATAATCTTCCACGTAGGTTTCATTTTTGAAGTTACATTCATTCGTATTTATGATAAAACAATTTAATATAGAGTATTGTAAAAACTATAGGTTTCACATGTGAAAAATATGCAAACGCCATGATGCCTATTAAAGTAGTTGCACGTCGTGATTCAGTTGTAAGATGTCTTTTTATTCTGTTACAGTGTAAACAATGCGGGAAGGCTTTCAAACGTTCAAGCACTCTTAGCACTCATCTTTTAATACATTCCGACACTAGACCGTATCCCTGTCAATATTGCGGCAAGAGGTTTCATCAGAAATCAGACATGAAGAAGCACACTTACATCCACACCGGTGAGTCTCTTATTAATCCTTCGATTCATACAACAATCATAGAAAAAAGAACTACCTTCAATTAATTTCTAAACTAAGAAAATATAAATGAAACATCGAGGATCGTAACAAGAGCATTTTTGTTGATTTTCTTAATTTTAATTTTAACATCACTTTATTACTTAAAATAAATTTTTCACAATAATCGAAATAAGTTATCAAAGATTTGTCGATCGATTGTCAAATTAAAGGTACACAAGAATATTCTAATAATACGAAATGGCTAGAATGAAAAGAATCTATTGTACGAAAAATATAATTGTTAGACGAATATTTTAATACTAAATTAAGGAGGGAGATACGTGCTTAATAGCGAGCGATTTCGATCGCCGGGTCAATTTTGAAATTGTTATTCCGTGAAAGATAGGAACTGCAACTCGTCTCGTTTCTTCCCTCGTTCGCCCTTCGATTAAAACATTGAGTTTCTTTTTCGAACAGCGGCGTTCGCAATCGATGAAACGAAGCTCACGTCAACGACGTGAAAAACATATTTCACAAAAAAGTTGCCGCTCCGCGTGCTGGCGCGTCTGCAAGCGCAACTAGCTTCGTAATTGAAGAAACTTTGACATTTGTTTTTCAATTATTCACGCGACTCGTGCCGGTTCTAATATGTTCGCTCGCTTCCATTATTCAGCCACCCATCGTTACGATCGTCGAAAACTGCAAATACACGTTGCGACATGTCGAACACATGGCAACTAGAGTTCGAGAACTTTTTCAAGCTCGCAACTGTCTCGGCTTTTGTTGCTTCACTCGTTGGGAACGATATATATATATATATATATATATATATATATATATATATATTTATATATATATATATATACACGTATACTGTTCTCTTTTCTATCAACTTTTCGTCCAACTTTTCCTCTCCCTCGTTAATTTCGCCAAATTTGTATATAACGTGCAATGATATTTCGCAGCCTGGTAGTATACCAGACTCTCCCTTCGATCGATCATTTTTTCGTCCAAAAACTGAAAGTTCGTAACCTCCAACTTGCCAGTTCGCCGACACTTTTTGCAGGCCTCTTTAAACGCCGAGAACGTGAAAATGTACGAAGCGTATTCAGAGTTCGACGTAATACATTGTAAATTTGTCAGCGAAATAATAAATTCACCAATCAGATATTCACACTAATAATAATGTAAACTCATCGAGCTATAATATTTACTATCATTGATCGTAACGTATCCAAAACATAACCAAAACCAGCGTGGAATCTAAATTGAAATTTGTCCCATCTATTACATATTGTTACAAACACTTTACTCTGAACGTTTTGCATACTTTTGCATACATTGTAAAATGCGTGGACTTCCAATTTCCCACAAAACGCATGGAAATTCGCAGTCTACTAAGTCTGTATACGTATATTTTCCTCCCGATTCGATTCCCGTTGGACAAACGACGTATTGTGGCTGTCGTCGGCGAAATAAAAATTACGCTTATCACGTCGGATACGTGGCATGCACGGTTCGCCGATACGTGTAAACGAGCGATACCGAAAAAGCCGTGGTGTGTCGTGGCTCATGCTGCAGACCGCGCCTCGTTGATCGACGCGACGCGAGTGCATGTTAATGCGCGCTACATATACATATGTGTAATAGAACGCATCCTCGGCGATGGGCACACGCTCACGTCCCTCGTTCGCCGTCTAGCACACACGCGCAACGCCTGTGTTTACGCGAGTGCACCTATGCATCGGTCCTATCGCCGACGACACTCAGTGTCATATGCCTATGAATCACGCATGGTCATCGTATAGTTCACTATGGCGAATTTATTATAGATAGAGGCTACAGTTTGGTCGAGGGTAGTAGCCTTTCGTCTGTTTAAAAAAATGGTGGAGAATTGTTTTTAAAAATAATTATAATGTATATTGTATGTTATTATATAACATATAATATACATTATAATGAAAAAAAAAGAAAGAAAGAAGAATATAATATACATTATAATGGAAAAAAAAGAAAATATTATATGATATATATATATATATAAAATATAATTATATTATATATTATATTATATTATTATATTATATATATATCATATAATATTAATAAATATAACGTGCTTTTTTCTTTCTTTTTTCTTGCAATGGAAGCTAAATTTATTAGCTTTATTTATTTAGAGAAATCAGTAAGAGTCTTTGAAAAGATTGGAAAACTCGACCATTTTGTTGTTATTCTCATCGATTGTAAATTGAAAATTATATAGAAAGAATAAATAGGACACGAGGCAAGAATGAAGAAAAACATTTTAAATTAGTCCAGGATAATAAGTTGACCCTTAAGCCGGAAGAGAAAGAGGTCGACACATCAAAGTCAGTATTTTGATTACTCCGAGCCACGTGTGTTGGAATGAAACGCGGCGGACGTGTATCGAGAGATAATCGAGGTATATATATTTTAAATTGTGGACTGCACGGGCATCCATATTCATACGTATCGTACATTGTAGCACGTCATGCTTTTCCCTCGTAAATCGACACGGTTTTTTAACTTTTTAGACAGAACAGAACGCCTGAAAAGTTAATTTAACGCACACTTATTATGACATTAATCTTGAAGAATTCGCCGTTTTCACGGTGTATATTATGGCTTTTTAAGTGATGAATGGTACGATTAAAATGGAAAGTGTTCAGTGATATGATACCATTTAAGACGGCAGGATGACTTGAGCTTTCTTTTATTGGGGAAAGAAACTTTCGAGTTCTCTCGTTAAAAAGAACCTTCCACGAACAATTTACACATATTTCTCATATTTTGAGAAACAGCCTCTTTGCAGTAATAAGGGGAAGTATAATGGAATTAAACAGAATAGATTGCAATGAAAATTTGTAAAAATACTCTTACCTCAATTTCTTAAATTCCACTATTTTAATATTAGTAAATTTTTTTTATTACACTTTTTAGTTATTTAGTTATTCTACTTGTGTAATAATTGTAATACACAGAATGTTTACTTCTCGTATCAAATACTAAAGTAAAAATATTAAAAAAACCTCGACAAACGTTCAAAGAGAATTTATAAATAATTTATAAATAATAATAGTAATTTATACGAGAACTTAAAGTAATTTTATGTATTCCATGATTATTTCTCTAAGTTAACGTTTCAAAGTGCTATTAGAGAATAAGGTTACGTAAATGTGTCCGTAATACTCATCAGATGCAAATTCTAATGGACTTAAAATCGACTCTGAACACATTTGTTATTTGCCTAATATGATACTCGATTGACAATCATAAAGATTCTACAGCAACCCCTTAATACACTAATGCGTTTAGCATACACGCTCGATTCAACCCTCTTAGATGTATCGAAGATTATCTATAATTTATCAAGAAATTGTGCTAACCGAAGTGAGTGGAATGATTATCTCGACGATTTTAAAATCTCTATAAAATATGCAATTTCTCGAAATAGATGAATCACCGTTCGCAAGCGGAATATGAATGAAAATAATCAAACTTTTAGAGGCTCTCCACTTCGACTTGGAATATATTTTTTCTGCTCGCGTTATAATTCCAATAATATTTACTTACTAGATAATTAATCAGACGAATTGCCTCAACTAAAAATCAAAATTACTCTGTCGATAGAGTATAGACTGCGAATTTTTTGTGAATTTATAGGAAATCCTTGAGGTGCACGTGACATAGAAATATCCGCGGAGTATAGCGCTCTCTGTAACCCTTGGCGCATAAAACATCGAGGCTCTGCATCTTTAATTAAATTCACATTTCTCCGTCCCCAACTGTAGAAGCTGAGCCCAAGTTTTGTTTCATCTACTGAATATTACACTTACAAATTCTCGTACGCTTCGTGTATCGTTGAATCTTTAAATTTCGCGGGAAAATTAATTTTTACATATTTCGCGATATCTATTTGCTATCTACTTTCCACGAAATAATATATATCACGCGATATCATAACAATAATAATACAACAGGGGATAATATCGCGGACGTAACGTAAAAGATTGAAAGATACATGAATGAAAGGAGACAGCAAGTTTAATCTAGAAAGAAATCTCGATCAGAGGAGAGGGGGAGGATACTTTAGGGACGATTTAATCGCGTTCTCCAATTGAAACGACCGGAAGGAGATATACGGAGTGATGGGAAACGCGTTGTTTGTCACGGGCCGAGGGAGTTTCCGGTTAGCCACGTGGCTGGCCGACGCACGAGGATCGCCTCCCTTTTTAATTAGCATCGGCATCGCAAGGGTTGGACGTCGTGTCTCCAGACACCTTTTATCCATTCTGATAAACGGTTCTGCCCTCGTTTCCACGGAACAACTATTAATGCAAATTTAATCGTTTCGCGTCGCGATTTCTCTCTATTGATTCGTCGTTAGGAAACCAGCGGAGAATTTATGGTTGTTTGTGTGAATTTAGGGGGTTTCTATGAGGATTGACGAATATTAACGAATGTGAAATTTACTAGAGATTCATTTCGATCTTTGAATATTTCTCCAAGTAGCCTAATAGTAGCTGAAGAAGCTTCTGTTATATGTATTGTTTGTGTTCTTACATAATATAATCGCGTGTAATTCAAAAATTTACTAATTTTTAAAGCTGAATTTTGTAATTATTATTCAAATAATATTTTAGAATATCAGTAAAAGGAAAAAGATACTACAAATACGTCCATAAAATAATCTCCAGATACGTCGACAAAATGCCAACGAATTCCCTTGATAAATTATACGAAAGTGCTTTTAATTGCAACAATTAAACTGCGCAGTACAAAATGTTAGATTGCATTGTTGAATAAAAATTGGTCGCCTCCATTTATTATATCAGTATAAATTATATAATCTAGATTCAATTCTATTCATAGTTATTATTCTGAGGTTTCTAATTGCTTTTAAAAACATGCCTGTATCTTTTAAAAATATGTCCTTATCTTCGCACATATAAATTGTTAGGTTACTGCGCATTGGCGAT